GGCCTGTGAATAAGCACAGGCTGACCGGAAAGCTGCTTCCATTCAATTGCTTTCCAGTCAGCCAGAGGATGTGTTGCTTTTATTAACGCAATTTATTATTCTCTTGCCTAATAGTGGCCAATTCAATCAGGTGATGCTACGGTTGACAAAGTCATTTTTTATTTGAAAACGCTGTACCAATGGAGATTGAGGCTGAGGGCATTGTTTACTTGGCGAAGACTGATATGTATATAGCCATCCATTTCAGCCTCATGGATGCCAGTTTTATTGTGTGCTTGGATGCAGTATGAGATCGTGGTTCCTCAGGGTTCACTTCCAGGGCACAAATATCTTTTGGCAAAACACCAGTGACTTACTGGCACATCTTTAAATATTAATAATCCTAGAAAACAGTGGTAGGGTTTTCTTACTAATAATTCTAAAACAGAGCTTCTAGGAACAGCCTAGGCATGAGTAAAATACATCAACCCATGGCATTAAAAAAAAAACAAAACAACACCTAGACGCTTACAGAGAAAGAGCTTCTACAATGGAATCATCTTTCTATTAGTCTGATGTTTTACCTATAAACATGGTATTGGCAACAAATGCAGCAATTACAGAATTGGTAAATATCTCAATGAAAAGCCTCTTCTTATATGAAAATATTGTCATCTAGAACTAAACACTAAACTTCTCCAACCACCTGCTCTTCTCCAAACCTATCAGCCATTAACATAAAATATTGAGTTAAAATACTGTCCTTGATCAGACTGTAACATAAATAGCTTACTTTAAAATGAGTCTTTAAATTCAAACAAGTCTTTGACCAAGTCTCTCAGGCAGAACAATGGAATACTCTATATAATGATGCCACAGCAAATTAGCAAGTACTCCAAAGAATCAATGAGCTTTCTGAAAAGAGAGGCTGAAGCTCTTGATGCTGTAAGGCAGTAATCTAGAAGTCTTTTTTTCCCTAATTTTCCTTATTCATACACATACCCCTTTTCTAGAAGATACCTTCTCTAAAACCAGTCATTTTCAAAGGGTGATGTAAGCAGCTTAGTGGTCATCAAGACTGTTAGGACTCTGTAAGGTCAAAAGCATTTCACATAAAAAAAAAAAAAAAGCATTTCACAGAATTAAGGAAATGTCCCTCTCCTTTTCATAAGTACAGAGTAAAGTTTTCCAAAAGCTTTGAGACATATGATGATACCATTGTTCTGATGGTAACTCAAAGAACACTATGTATTCTTCTACTATGAACACTTCTTAGTTTTAATTTCTAATGTTGCTGTAGTTGTTATTGTTAGGTGCCATCAAGTCCAGTATAGCTCATAGCAACTCTACAAACAAAAGACCTGAACCCTGTTCTATCCTGTGCCACCCTCACACTCCATGACACACAAGAGCTCACCACACTAGTCACCATGTCATTCTACCTGGTTGAGAGTCTTCCGCTCCTTCACTGACTCTCCATCCTTCCCAGCATCATGTCCCTCTACAAGGAAGAGACAAGCAGTAAATGTTGTAAAGTATTAAGTCAACTGTGACCCATAGAGACTCTATGTACAGCAGCTCTGAATCCTGCCCAGTCCTGAGCCAGTCTCACTCATTCCAACACACCAATCCCTACTGTCTCAATTACTGTATCAATCCATCTCATCTGGGGTCTTCCTCTACTGTGCTGTCGCTCCATCTTTACACACATGATTTTTCTTCTTTACAGACTGGACCCTCCTGGCCATGTGCCCAAGGTATGTGAGAGGGAGCTTCCAAACTCTAGCATCCAAGAGAAACTTGGTTTCACCCTCTCCAATATAGACATTTGTTTTGTTTTCTTGGCAGTCCATGGTATGTTCAATACTCTTCTCCAGCACCACAACTCAAAGGTACTGATTCTTCTTCTGTCATCCTTACTCATGGTCCAGCTTTCTGATACACAGCAAGTAATCCAAGACCATGGCCTGGATCAGGTGCACCTTAGTCTCTAGAATGACATCGCTGTTTTTTAGTATTTTAGAGAGTTTCTCAACAACACATTTTCCCAGTACAATTCGTCTTTTGATTTCCTGACTGCTAGTGCCAAGAGTGTTGACTGTGGAGCCAAGCAAGCTTTAACAATTTCTTCTCCATCTATCATGGTGCTGCCAACTGGCCTTGTGGTGAGAAGCTTTTGTCTTCTTTGATGTTAAGCTTCAAAACATACCGAAGACTACAGTCCTTGATTTTCTGTAGCAAGCACTTCAGGTTCTCCTCAGTTTCAGCAAACAAGGTTGTGTCATCTGCATAATGTGGGTTGTAGATGAGTCTTCGTCCAATCCTGATGCCACATTTCTCCTCATAAAGCCACCTTCCCAAATGATCTGTTGTGCACAAAGATTGAAAGGGTATGGGGGACAGAATGTACCCCTGATGCACTCCTTTCCTGATTTTGAACCATGCAGTGTTTCCTGGCGGGGACAGACTGTACCCCTGATGCACTCCTTTCCTGATTTTGAACCATGCAGTGTTTCCTGGCTCTGTTCTGAAGACAGCTTCCTGGTCCAAGGTTTCATAAAGGCACAATCAAGTGTTCTAGGATTCCCATTCTCCTCAAGCTTGGCCACAATTTGTTGTAATCCACACAGTCAAATGCCTTTGCACAGTCAATGACACAGACAGACATTCCTCTAGGTACTCTGCTTTCTGCCAACATCCATCTGACATTAGCGATAATGTATCTAGTGTGTGTCAAGACCTCTTCTAAACCCAGCTTGTATTTCTGGTAGTTCTCTGTCAATGTACTGTTCCAGTCATTTCTGGATAATCTTCAGCAGGATTTTCCTTGAGTGTGATAGCAGTGGTATTGTTCAATAATTTCTACACTCTGTTGGGTCACCTATTTTTGGAATGGGAATAAATATGGATCTCTTCCAGTCAGTTGGCCAAGTAGCTATCCTCCAGATTTCTTGGCACAACCTTGTGAGCATATCCAGGGCTGCATCTGTTTGTCGAAATACGTCAATTGGTATTGAATCAATTCCTGGAGCTTTATTTTTTGCCAAGTCCTTCAGAGCAGCCTGAACTTCCTCCTTCATCACCACTGCCTCTTGATCATATGTTGTTTCTTAAATACAGTAAATGTTAATTAGTATGTGGTAAGCACTTTAACTACTAGCTCTCCAAGAAGGCAAAGGAAGAATGGGAGCCCAGTTTCTTAGTACCTATAAACTGCATGACATACGAAACTCATCCTGCCTGATTTCAAGATACCAATGTATTATTGCTGAATTCAGGGTTTGGAAGTAATATATAAAGTTGTTACAAGTTACAACCAGATATGATCCATATAAGTTCTTTGAGGTTCTTAATAGAGGGATCTTCAAGTAAAAAAGTCAAAGGAACCACTCCTCTACAATAACGTTTTACAAACTATGAACTGTGAGTCTCAAAGAATGAAATAAATTTTGGCCACAAAAAGTATTTCAAAATATCATAAATGGTAAAAAAGATAAAAACTATCACAAGCAGAAAGAGCACTATGTTATGTGCGCCACACAACAAACTTTATTAAATACTCATCTGCAAGGACTAAAAGCAGGAGCATAGGAAGTCTCTGATGGCTGCATGAATTTTAACTTTATAAGCCTGAGAGAGTTAATTTTCAGGAGAAAAGGCAATCTGTGGGCAAAGGCAAACACTGAAGACCTGCAGCTCAACACAGTAGCAGCTGAACTAGGTCCAACTGCAAGAGCAACGTCAAAGGGCAGAAACAGGAACTGCTTTGGGGGAAGAGCAGGTAATTCTGCCTTTTAGAAGAGAATATGAGCTACCACCTGCCCAGTAAGAATGCATAAGCTTAGTCATCCTCCTATGTAGTTTTCAAATACTTTATTTCTGCTCTCAAAAAAAAAAGGCATAGAATTATCCAAAGAAACAGGACATATAACTGTAGGGAGTATCACCCTAATCCAGCTCAGTTCATATCCCCACCTGACAATAAAAGCAAAAGTATAGTCATTTAGAAGTCATGTAAAAATTAAAATGCTGAAATATGCAACTCATCATTTTCACACATATTCAAGAAGACAACCACTTAAGATCGAATCAACAAAACCTAAAGTGTGAATTTGTTACGAGTGAAAGAAATAGCCTTGAAGTCTTCTTACAAAGACAGATTCACTTAATAGGCATGAACTCTGGAAAAAGAGTGACAGGACAAAAGGCTAACGTGCCTGAACATGAGCTATTTTTACACTGAAATGTTTTCTCTAATTACAATCCACAAGCTGTATTATTAGGCTCTTTTTAAAAATCAATTTTGAAGATACTGTCATGATCTCTTAATATAGAACTCACACACGAAAATTCCTAAGAATTTAAATTTTTCTTAAAACTGTCAACTGACCATGTTTACAGGATGAAATACTGTTATTTACATTTTCTACACCTAAGCACTGTTCATAAAATAAGTGGATTTTCTATTAGAAAGTTATAAAACTTACCCTTCCAGACCACCATCATTATTCTCCCTCAATATGTCTTTAGGGAGCTCTGGTGGCTTAATGGTAAGGAATAGTGCTGCCAATACAAAGGTATACAGTTTGAATCCACCAGTTGCTCCACAGAAGAAAGCTAGGCAGTCTCCTCTTATGTGATTTACTCCCTCTGAAAACCTGCTGAAGGGTCATTTCTGACGTGATGCTGCACAACAACAACAGCATGTCTTTATATTTTCAAAGCAAGTGCCAGCAAGAGAAGATATGTCTAGATTTTGACCTTATATTTAATAAGACAGGAGCTCTGGTGGCTTAATGTTAAGAAGAGGCACTTCCAACCCAAAGGAATGCTGTTCAAATCCACTAGCTGTGCAAGGGGGAAAGATGGACAATCTCCCCTGAAGCAATTTACTGACTCTGAAATCCCACTGGGGGTCAGCTATGAGTCAGTTCCAACTTGACAGCACATAATAACAACATTTCAAAGAATACAGAAAAAGGGGGGAGGGGGGGAGGAGTTGCTCATTACATAAAAGTTACCTGGCATTAGCCGCTTTCAGGTCATAGAAATGAGTGAGTAAAGTTCTCACAACTTCGTTGCAGATAACTTTCACCACATCCACATGACTCAGTCTGTTGCGCAGCTGTTTGACAATTTCCCAAAAGTCTTCAGAGAGGAGATGGTAAAGCTGTCCCTCATCTCTGCTGAGGTTCCCATACCAGGAGAGAATGTAATCTCTGTAAACGTAGTCGAACACTAACAGGAATAAACAAAGCAGTAAGCACAACATACATGAAGCAGCAAACAGAGACATCACTTATACTGGGATCTGGCCACCTCCAACTTAGTATTCCTTAAAATAGAGTGGAAAACAAAACTTAAGAGAAGGTAAGTAATCCTTTTTTCTAAGATCTTTTAAGATGAAAAATTCTCTAACTAGAGTGTTTGGATTGTGGTGACTTCATGTATTGAATTTCTTGGACAGTGTAATTTTCAAATTTCATATAAACATTTCTGGATTAAAAAACTGAACATCTAACACAGAACATCTAACACCATATGACAATATGCCACAGGGTGTACTTAGTTACTAGGCTTTTGTTTCTCAATTCCAAATGCATCCCTTCTGGCCCTGCAGGTCTCTTTTTGCCAATTGGCATTATATTAAGCTTCCACAGGAGAGGATGTTGGTAGGACATCCCAATATGAAGAGGATTCTTTTCCTGGTTTCTCTGTGTTTTCCCATGATCTTATGATCTCAAATTTTTAGCATTCAGACCACCCAGTTATCATTCGCTGCCAATTTCAATGGCACTCACCAGGCAGCTTCCCGGCAAACTCTGTGGTCACCATAGAAACAGATTCATCCACTCACACTGAATTATCTCAGCAAACTTCTCCAACACTCGGTTAGGCCAAGATCTCAGCCCAGGATGAAGAAGGGTCCCCCCCTCTTCTGCATTTATTCCTCCCCAGATATTCCTGTCTTACACATAGAGGTAGTAGCTATTCTTGCATTTGTTGTTTTATTCTTTCTAGTTCTTCATTCCTGAGTGTGTAAGCTCAAAAGGAGCCCATGTAGCATAATGCATTATGTATCTGACTGCTATCTAAAGGGTCAGGGGTTTAAATCCTATTCAACATACAAAGATGAAGCAGTCTCTTTCTCATAAAGCAGCTTTGAGCTCATTTTCTTTGGAAATTGTCTCATGTCTATTTTCTTAATTCTGGATTAATTCTAGGTGAAAACTCAAAATCGCATACTTTCTCCTGTTATGTTCTATCAGATTAGAAAAACCAAAATAAAACCCCAAACCCTCAAATTCACTGCCATCAAATGGCAATCTATTCACAGCTAACCCTTCCAAGTTTCTGACGTCGTAAACTGCACCGGAGGGAGCTGTCCGCCTTTTTATTTTCTACTGGACAGATTAGCACTATCCAAGAGACACAGGGACAGCCAGGAATGTCATTTAGTTCCATTGTCATAGCCCACATGAAGCTGCACTGCTAGTCCAAAGACTCAATCTCTCTGGCAGTTAGAATCTGCCACCAGTAGCTCTGAGAGAGAAAATTATAATCTCCTTCCATGTGATTTATAGAATGAGGGAGTGAAAAGCGGTCCTAAAAAAGTTTTCAAGAAACTGATAAAATTAATTTTAATATTATATCTTACTTAATATTAAAACTTCAATATAAAATAAGTATTTTTTTCAATTTTAAGATACATTTTTCATTCAAATTTTCTTAAAATTTGGTGTATATTTTGTACCTGTCGTACATCTCAAATTGGACTAGCCATGTTTTAAGCATATGAATCACGTCTACAGACTAATAATGACAAGTACAGCCCTAGATCATATAGAAAATTAAGCTGATATGATTTTATTTTTAAAAAAATCTATGTCTTTGGAGGAAGAAAGTATTGAAAGGTAAGTAGAAGATTGCCCCAGAATCCCAAGGGTAAAAAACATTTAGGGATACAATCCTGAATTATACTCTAGAATACTAAAGTTTTTTAATCACTTTAATTATCACTCATATATTTTTCTTTGTTTCTTTTTCAAACACACATTATTTGGCTTAATTCCACCTGTTACTGTATATCATTTCAGATGTCCTCCTGGTATCTGTACACTCAGAATTGAGACACACAAAATACAACCTGTGACATTCTACTTTACATCTGGTATGCAAATAGCTATCCTATGAGTCTCAAATATTTTCTGAACCTAAGAGTCAGTACTCATTTTAGTCATCTTGACCATTTCAGACAAGCTTAGAAACTTAAGAAAGATACAATTTTAGCTGTGGTGTTCTGCTTGTTTTTAGAGGGGCAACTAGGCAGTCATATCACTCTGACAAAATCAAATGGCAGATGGGAGTTCCAGCTCAGGATTAGTATTCACTCTATTTGAGGGTTTCAGCTAACTGTAAATGTTCTTGGTTATAAGGAAGCATCATTCTTTCCTCAATATTTTGTGATGGACTGTCAACCATGAATATCCAACCAATTTTTTACCTATTTCCAACATTATTCTCAACTCAGCTGCCACGGAGCTGACCCTCCAGCAGGTTTTCTGAAGCTGCAAAGTGTTCAGGAGGACACTGCTCATTTTTCTTCTGTGGAGCCACTGGTAGATGTGAAGCATCAGAGAGGTACCATCTTTGGGTTAGCAAAACAACTCTCCATACACTATGCCACCAGAATCACTCACAATATAACTTTGTAAAAAGTTACATAATAGTATCTTGAATCCCAAAGCTTAAAAATATACATTAATTGCACACTCATGTTTATTGTGGCTTTGTTCACAATAGCATAGAGCTGGAAACAACCCAAGTGCTCATCAACAAGCAAATGGACAGAGAAGCTCTGGTATATTCACACAATAGAATACTATGCTGCATTGAAACAAGGAACTCATGAAATATGCAAAATGGATGACACTGAGGACATTATGCTGGGTGACGTATCACAGTCACAAAAGAATACTGCAAAAGGCCAGTGTTGTAAAACGAGACTGACACCAGGGTTGAGGGAAGACAGGAAAGGAGGGAGGAATGATGTATATTGCACTGAAACAGATAAGGGAGAGACTGTTTCAAAGGGATATATGAATGGGTATTGTCATTACAAAGTCCTGAGTGAAGGCTGCATAGTAGAGTGGACTTGGGGGGGAGGGATTGT